GTTCATAACTAACCTGTCAATGATTTAAATATTAAACTATATGTGAAGATCAAATTAAACTTGTTGCATGGTTAATGTTGTGAGTATTAAATGTCTCCTACAAGTGAACAAATCAACAAGTAAGTGATAAACTCAATTAATAAACAAGAATCAATCAAAACAATCAAGTGAAGAAATAGATACAAGAACAAAGAAGTAATAATTCCCCCTTTTCTTAGGCTCAGAAACTTCGATCCAACACCACAAAGGTAATGCCAACAATAGATTTTCGGAGTCCAAGATATACACCAAGTATTAGGGCACACAAAGGCAAAGAAAAATAGCTTCAAGGCACAAAGCAAGAAGGTTTTCAAAGGCACAAAGCACAGTGACTATTTTCTAGGGTTGTTGGTGTGTTTACATAGGTTTAGAGGTCAATTATATGTAGGTCAAGTAGAAAAACGAATTTCCTAAATATTCCAATAAAATCTTCAAAGATGGGTATCAATTTGAATAAGGTAGGTTACCAAAAGTTAGGAATAGTGTATATCTCTAACTACCAAGTCCATCTTTTAATTAGGTATTGGGCACCTAGCCCTAATGGGCCAATTCCTTCTAAATACCCAACTTAATTGGGTTACTGCAATTGTGGTGTGGATCTTTAATACATATTTCAATCTCGGGCTTAAAGCCTATGAAACAAACGGGTCTCGATTTTTCATCATTGCCTAGGGGATTGTTTGGGCATCACTAAAATACCTAACAAAAGTCATACTAATGAGCCTACGCATAAGTATGAATAAACTGGATATAATTAGTTGTAAGACAAAACAATAAAATCCAACAAGATTTCTTCACACAGGATGCTTATAAAGGTAAAGTATTTTTGAAATTACAACTCAGATAGACAATTATTCTTGAGATTTAGGGTCATTGGGAATCCATTTTCTCATTCTTCAAGACTCATTTCTTCATAGGAGATCCTGGATTAGTATCAAATAGGTCTTTCTCTACTCACTTTTCACATATTGATCATGTTTAACATTTTTCTTTGATCTTTATACATAGACACATATTCACACATACTTACACGTGTTTTGTGTACATTACACAAATAAATTTGTTGAATTGACACAATAACACCTATAAAGTATTATGTATGACTTGGTTATGAGAGAGAATGAAGATATGTAAATAATGTTCAGAGTTAGTTTTATGACAAAAATTAAACATATCACATCTCTCTATAATTTCTATTATTGCATTAAAGAAATCTTTTTATGTACACTAATATTATTTGAATAAAATTTCATATTTCATTAGGTCTTCCTTCAACCACAACATGTTATGTTTGGCAGTGAATATTACATAGTATATTGGACAATATTAGAAAGATAAAATTTATTTAAAATTTCATCTATTATGCTCTCATACTGTGTTTAGTGCCCTGCACGAAATATGCACTTTGCGTGCAGATGCACTTAGGATTTATTTTTTTTCACAAAAATTTGGATATGTGTTTTATAATAAAATATAAGATCTTAGAGTATATTGCTTTATTTTATTTTATTTTTTTGTAATTTAATGGCAATGTATGTGGCGTCAAAGAAATGCAAAATGTGTATTCAATCTTCATGTCAAGGTCTAGGTTTAGTGTTTAAATAAATAATCCCTATTCTGTGTAATCCTCAATGATTTAACAAATTCGTGTTATCATATGAGCTATTGTAAATGATAACGAGAATGCAAAGAACAAAATGTGTTTATTCAAATTGATAATTGTGTTATCGTATGAGTTATTTCAACAGATTGGATGTGAAAACTGTGGAGTCGATCATACTCTACTTTGGAGGAAAGGTTCCAACTGTCCACAAGTTTCTACCTCTAGAACGCCACAAAGAATTCTTCACAAGATATTACCATTTATTTTAATTTAATTTCATGCACATTGCTAGTTTTGTTACAGGTATACCATTGGCTTAGAATTTTTTTTGCCATTCTAATTTTCAAAATTTTATTAGGTAACCACATTAAGTATGAATAAAAAAAATTTTCAAACGCAAATAATTTTTCAAACGCTAAAATGTATTTAGACATTGAAGAAGAAATTAAACAAATGCAACATTAAAACTTCAAATTATTACACCTCTGCAGTAGAACCTTTTCTTTCTTCTTCCCTCCGACCCCACACCCAATAGCGGACATAAACATTTTGAGTTCGATGACACAATTAAACTTGCAAAAATGTTGTAAGAGATTTCACATTTGAAAACTCACATATTAAAAAAAATCATACTTCATGTAAATTTACATTCGAATTTTACATTCAAAAGCTTACATGGGGTATGACTTTTTCTGATGTAAAATTTAAAAAAAAAAAAAAAAAATTGACTTCATACCCCCATTTAAAATTTCTAATAAAATGATATAAATTATATTGAGAAATTTGTTGAAGAATAATAAATGATTACTAAATAATTGAAATTTTTTAAAAAAAAATAAAAGATGAGTTACACGCCTAGATTTAAGACACACGTTTGACACATTTTTTAATATTTTCGATATCTATTTAGACCATTAAATACTCATTTCTTGAATACCTATTTTACGCCTTTGAGCCAAGTGTCGCCCATTGGTTCTATAACTCTAGATATTTGATAAATTTTCTCTTGAATTTCTTATTAGTTAAGCTAGGTATTTTGGTCCAAAATAAGGAAGTAAAATAGCCCCGTTTAAGGGATGTGCCTGTGATTTAGTTCTTGAAATGATTTTCAAGATGACGTAGACGATTTATGGATTCGGCCAACATTTCAAAGTTCTTGAAATACTAGTGATGAGTATATTTCACTTATATTTTAGACACTATCTAAGTTTAATATTTAGGTAATTACTACGAGTTTTAGAGTATTTAATGTGTGTTTTGATGTTGTAATATAGGTTGATAAAAAAACACCCAATTATTTTCTGACACATCCATCTCTTCACTAATCTGGCTTAAGTGGTTTTATTCTAATGACCTAGGACTAATCCCCGATCTTAGGTTGTCTTATCAAAGGCCATGATGTGTAGACAAGCCACCTTTAGTATAATCATTAGTTCTCCCATTATTTTTTCAGAGGCCAACTCCCTTTTTGTGCAGTGCCAAACCTTACAATAAAGATTCGAGAGTGCTAGGAGTTAATTGGATAAAGAAAAAAGTTAAAGGGATTAAATAAAACCAAAGAATGACCACACATCAATTTTCAACAAAATAAATTATGATCCAAATTTTTAGTCTCATATTGAAACCCATTTTTAATATAGCAAACATTGAAATTGGAAAATAATATCTGAAGCAAAGTTATAGCTCTTTGAGTTAACTTTCCAACGCAACTTGACTCGCCTTAATCGGATATCAAGAGAAAATATATAATAAAAATACTGAAAGATGTGCGGTGCTATTTTTCACCCAAAGTGAGCACGGCAACACCCGTCTTGCTGAAATTCAAAGCATCAAGGCGTCGCAGAGCCCATCTTGCTCGCCACAGCCCCACTGGGGGAAAAAAGGAATTTTGAATTTTTTGGACTCTTTTCTTTGCCAATCCCACCCTAATTTGTCGAAAACTTCAAAATACTATAAATGCAAACCTAAAAACCACAATTCAAAAGGGAATTCAACCAACAATTCAAAGGTGCAAAATTCAAGAAATCGAAGGGAGGCAAGAACATCAAGAAAGAATATTGAATATCTACCCAAAATCCTTTTTTTTTTCCTCTTCTTTATGTTGTTTATTTTGAATTGTATAGATTTCATATTTCTTATCATGAACTAAACATCTAATCTAGGGTTTGATTAGTCAAATCTGAGAGTATGATTTGAATTTCTTTTCGTTATTTCTATGAAATTTGCATTTCGTTTATTTGTGTTATGATTTTAATACTTTCAATTAATTAGCCACTAATTGAATGAATAGATGCTAGTCAATTTCAGCACTCAATAGAGGAAAATTTAGGTGCGATCATAAGATTAACACAACGTAGATTTTATGAGTTTCGAAAGAAAGTATAGAATCTATAAAGCTTACTCCATAAAAGAACCATGAACTAGATAAATTCTTGATTTTAATTTGAAATTGAGATATTGGAATTGAAATCTATGATTAATTTCTAGTCGGCACCCGAGAGATGGGATAAAAATACAATTGAGTTCTTGCTTATAAATTTTGAAAAATTGATTAGAAATAATTATATAATTGAGAATCATATTTGATAGTTAGGTGAAATCATAATCCTAAGCTTTTTTATCTCGATTATTCTTCTAACTTGCAATTAATTGTTGAGTTCATCACCACATTCATTTTATTAACTTATTTAAAATCAATGATTCCAAATTTCATCCATCTAAATAAAATAAGAGTTACTCAATTATAGTATTTAGTATAAAATTAAAATACAATTCCTGTGGGTTCAACACACTAACTCCATTATTATATTACAAAACTTGACATCGTATACTTACGATATAAATCACATTATAGAAAATGCGTGAAAACTAGTCTGGAATGGCCTACTTTGACAAGTCGTAACATTTGCTACACAGCCACTGCTTTCCTATGATGGGATTCCTTAT